ATCAGTACCCCATCTCATACCCCATCTCATAAGGGGTCTATTTTCTGATTTCTAACACTGTGTTTCATTTGCTTATTTTTGAACTTTATGTAATGAAACCATATATCATGTATTTCTTTGACTCTAACACCTTTTGCTCCAACATTTTATTTGAAATATTGATTTCTTTTGTTGCAACTAGCTACACGTTGTTCATTTTTCATTGTATAGTGTTTCATAAAAATAATTTGTATATAGTTTCATAAAAATAATTTGTAGTAAAATGCTATAGATTATTTATATATTCTAACTTTGATGGATGTGGAAATTTTTTGAAGTTTTGGAGTTTTTATGTACAATGCTGTGATGGTAAAATATGAAAACTTTTATAAGAAATAAACAATACATGTACTCTTACTGCTTCATTTCAGCATTTCAGTGTGAACCCTAGGTAGTACAATAGGGTAAGTAAAAGAAAACCTATTCAAGAAGATTGGAGAGGAATAAATAAGTCTCATTCACAGATTATGTATGATTAGGTATGTAGAAAATCTGTAAAACTTATTTCTGTTTAAATTACAAATTAATATGTAAGTTTACAAGGTTCTTAGTCAACTGAAGTCAATGAAAATTCAAAAATCGTTCAGAATATCACATAAAAATAAGTTACGTATATTGTATACCAGCCATAACAGTAGAAAATAAAGTTTAAGAATGTATCGACTTCCTGTAACCTATTACCATTAGGGGAAACTGGGTGAAGTTTCCTGTTTCTCCTTATATGGGTATTTGGCACTATCTTCGTAAATCTTTACAAGTCTAAGATTATCTTCAGAAAGTTTTCCTAAATAAAATTACATACACACACATAATTTGCAAAAGCATCAAAACATAACATGTAGACAACATAAATCTATCAAAAATGTGACCCTATGCATGACACACTGTAAGTTATTTTCAGAGAAATTACCAAACATCTGACTAAATGTAAAGAATATACTATGTGTGGGGGTTGAAAGTCTAGGTACTGTGGAGACCCCAATTACCCCCAAACTGGATTAATCTCAATGCCTTTTAAATTCTCATTCAATTTTGCCTCCATGCTATGGCTTTCTGTTCCTTTCCAGTTTGGAGTGATTATTTTCCTCTGTTATCCACTGGCATTTCCATTCTGCATCTGCTTGCTCTGGGACTTGGTTTCTTTTCCATTTTCTTGCATATCTTCTGGAGAAGTACCCTGTCTCCATATCAGGCAACCCTGCCAACACACACAGAAGAGAGGAACTGTCTCAAACGTGGGCACGGTTTTCTAAGGGAACAAAATGATTGTCACTGTTGTTTTTCTGGTCTGTCACCTTAAAACCATCCCTTGATCACAGCTGGCAACCAAGTAGAAGAATATATTTCACTCAGGTTTGTCAGTTACAGAGAGTGAAAGAAGATCACATCTCCATGTTTGTTTTCAATTAATCCCTCCTTCATTTGTTCCACCTTTTTTTTTTCTCTAATGCCTACCATATATCAAGCTCTATTTTAGTCTTTAAATGTCTCACAACAGAGTAGAGAATGGTAAATGTGGTTGTGATATAATGTGCATAGGAAACAAGAGTATTGGTCAGGAGAGATGCCACAGAGGTGGAAATAATTTTTTCTATCGGAGAATTTGAGAAGCAGACAATATTTGTGCTAGTCCTTGAGTGATTAGCAGTTTTGCTGATTCAGTGAAGGGTAGAGAAAAAGAAGTCAGAAGGAACAGAATCGATAAAAGCATAGAAGTATGAAAACATTTGGGATATTAGGGAAATATCAGAATGTAACATAAAAGCTTACAAGAATATTTAATAGATCCTTTACTTGCTTAATGAATGCATTCAACCTTATGTACCTGTTACATTCGCAAGGGCTCTGTTTAACTTCTCTTGTTCTGTTTTGAATCATGAAAATAACAGTGAGCTGATTTTTATGTCTCACGAGCACAGAGTGTTTTAAAACTCTTAATCAAGAGCTTCTCCAAGGATAAGCTTTGCTTCTTTCCACAGATGGATCCTGACCAACGGAAAATACTTTTCATGATTTAGATGATCTTATTCTAAAGAACCTGAAAATGATAATGACCACAGTTTTTATGGTGTTTTAAAATAGCTAGAGTACTTAGAGATCACACGGTATGCACAACTGAACAAACTTCTGAGTCGTGTCCATAGAATATCTCATCTTTCTATAAAGATGGAGAAAAATAAATTTCCTATCATTGAGCTGAGATTCTCAACTCTATATGAAGAATGGCTGTAAGTAACAGTTGTGATTAAGCTTTACATATAGCAAAGCTGAATGAGAGATTTGTGTGTCTAGAGGTTGTATCTAGTGTATCTTAATTCCATGATAATTACTATTACTTATTGGAATTGCTCCACAGAGATAGCATAATGGTTGCATAATATTTCTTACATTGCATCTGTTTTATCCTACTGGAACTTTTTGCATGCAAAAGTTCTTTGGTTTGCATAAATTTCTTCCTTATTTATCTTTTAATAATTCTGATTAGCCTCAATTGCCAATATTTTTGCAGTATATTGCCCCAACTAAATACATCACATAGCTTTAGTGTATATTCTCATTTTTGCCCCAAAATTATAAAAAATAACCATTTATTTAATATTATTTTATTTTATGCTTATTAGATTACTACTAATAACCAGACTCATACATATTTATCAAATAGGTGCTTCAGTTCATGGTTTTAATACTTATAAACATGAGTAACTAAGTCAACAAGCTCTCTAAAAAACAACTTGATTCTGTGGTCCTTCCATACAAAGTTTTAATTTTTATGAAAACAGACTCTAAATGCTGTTTCCTTTCTTGCCAAAGGACAGAATATTACCGATTGCCTCCTTTGCAGAGCTACCAGAGGAAAAATAAAGAACCTACACTGAGAACTTTCTGAATTCAGCTCTGTCTGTGCATATACACCCCAAATGAAACAAATTGGGGCAATTTACTGAAGGTTTAATCCTCTAAGTGACATTCACTTAAAACATACAGGGAAATGGTTTGGGAAGCTTAAATGATCAATTTAATTGTCATAATTCTCTGGGATGCTTTTGTAAGTTGACACAACTTTATCATATCTCACTGAAAATTCTAAATTGTGGGTTTAGTGGTGTATGCATTTTTACTCTGAACACTTGAACCACATATACTTTCTATATAACCAGGTTATATAGACCTCAGGTGGGACAATTCCAGAAATTAGTTTTTGCATTGGTGATCTGCCTGTAACACTCTTTCCACTGGCCAGCACCTTTCAATTTATTGTCATATTTTTTAATCTGAAGTCACAGAGACACTTATGAAGAACTAAACATGCTGACATCACCTTGAGCTTGTATTCTTAAAAATCTGAATAGGGATGCTTCAAAATATTTCATTAGCAAAACCCACCCAATTTCTATTAAAAGTCATTTTCCCTGAGCGCTGAGAAATAAGTGAAAGAGAAGCTTATTTATGGGCAAGGTGGCTCCATCAACCCTGTTTAATTTTTAAATGAGCTTTCCGAGGTACTCTTGATTGATGATTCAGTAGTTCCTCTGAGTTGGGAGGGTAGTAGAAGGGTAGCATATTCTTGAAGATATGATCTGAAATACCATATTTTGAAAAAATGATTTTAACAAAATTAAAGAGTCTAAGATTTCAGAACTTTTCACTGACACTGAGTGGTGGTAGCGTATTTTCCTCTCACCAAACCATTGAACATAAGCCTTTTGATGTTTTAAAGGTTTTTCTTTGGCAGCTAAGAAAAACACTCTGGAAAGTTATATTTAGTGAATTTACCCATGTATAAATATCCCTGAGCTAGTCTGTTTTCCTGCAGCATCTGGAAGAAAGGTGCTATTGTTTGAGATTCCATGATTGAAGTATAGAATAATCAATTCAGAGAGACCCTGCGGGGAAGATTCACTCACATGTGCTGTGGAAACTTGTAATCCCTCAGTTTTTTTCAGTTTTTCCTGAAGATGAAGAGGCATTGATGAGTCTGTGCTTTGGTACGTCTAGTGACAGCAATTCCATTCATGCCACATCATAGTTGAACCACCCAGTTTTTATTTGAGACTATTAACTTTTTCTAGGAAAACTGCACTTTTGCTAACCCTTTTATTGCTATTTTCTCCTTGCTTTGGGGGGTCATAATAGCTGGATGGCTCTTTTGTTTGTGAGGATCCTGCAATGCACCACGATCATCACCAAGGCATTTTCAGTGCTGCATCATCAGACTTGGTTCTGACAAATAAGCTCCATAAATTATTTACAGCTCCTTTTCATTTCTTGTAAAGCAATGTTTGCTGAGCTCCTCCATGAAAAATCGATGTAATTCCAGAGATCATGATAGATTTTCAGGAAAGGAATTTATCCTGGATGTAAAGGCAGACATCAGCAGAGTTATGAATTATGTAGAAATTAAGGGAAACTGTACAGTTATTTTACCTTTGCTTTAACTTGAACATTTTATCTACTACTTTATTCAATGGCAGGTAAATAAGAACAGCTGTCTCGTGGCTTTCCACCGTTAAGTGTTCAAATGTGTGAGGTGGTTAGATATGAAAACACGGCAAAAATATGGATAATAGACTCCCTGCTCTGTCTACTGCAACTTCCCTGAGATTTTGTTTGCAGGGCCCAGCTGCGTATACAGACATGATGGAATTTGGTTTGTGAAGAACCTACAAAAATTACACAAATAACTCATATCTTAAATGACTAATACACAGACATGCACCTGCTTCAGGGACTTCATAGATTAATCTTGTAACCAATAGAAAAGCCCCTTGGAATTTAATTATATGGATGCAAAACAGAAAATAAAACAGGCTACACTTTTAGTACTGATATCAGCAAAATGTTAATCAGTTCTTGGAGCAAGCTTTTCCTGAGGATTAGGTTCTTCGGTTTGCTTTGCTTCTGTTGATACTTGATGTAAAATCATAATATTCTGCTCATAGTCTTATCTCATATTCTTGCAGCTGGAGCCACTTGCTGAAGATATTCTCCATCAAACCCCGAACATGAATGCTGTTACTTCTTTACAGAAGATCATTGAGATTCAGAGTATGTCTTTAAAATTTTTATTTTTAAAAATTCTCTAACCAGGTAAAGCTAATTGAAATGACATTGAGAATTAGAGCACAAAGAAACATATTTAGGGTTATTTTAATTAGCATATAATGAATGTTCTTCCCTACATGTTTTATTGCATTATTCTTAATGTGACAATCTTATCTTACACTGATGACATAACTGAGACGATAAGATTTAGAATCTTGTTTTTCTAATATTTTCTATGTACTTAGACTTTTTTCTCTATTTCTATCATTAAGCATTCACCTGGAAAATGAAATAAATATGGAAATTGTGATTGTGTAGTGAAATCTTAACCAGAAATAACTTTTTTTTTCTAATGATGTTAAAATTCGGTTTTAAGCTTGGGAGGGGAAAAATAATGAGAAAGACTTCATTATGAGGAAGGCCAACTTAGTAAAACAAGACAAGGCAGAGACTTTTTATTTTTTAGTTCCCCTTACATACATCTACAGCCCTCTGCTACAAATTAGCATGACATTTGTCAGGAAGAGGAAAGCCACACAGCCACACAGCAGAACTACAGATTAAGAGGATCGAAAACACCTGAGCTTTACTAGTGTCCTGTAGAAGCACTTTTAAAACACTTGGGAAGCCTCTTTCCAGACATCTCTTGGAGTCAGTGCTGCACTTGCTCAGCAGACTTGTGAGACAGGGGTGTAACTGACCTTCTAGTATTTTTGACATTGCATTTTTGAATCATGTCTTAGATAAACTCAGAGTACTTCTCCACCTTCCTTAATCTCACTCATGCATGAAGTGTGGCCATTTTTACTCAAGAAGCATTATTGTCTCCTAAGTCGAATAAACTATGAAATTCAAAGATTATCAGAGAACAGAAAAATAAAAATTCAAATCCTAGGAGCAAAGTCTCTGAGACAAGAAAAAGGAACTGACAGACCCAGAGGGAAGGCTGGAGACCATTTATTCATTTGAATCCCAACTATCTCTCTTCTACAAAGGGTGGATTAGGAAGGTCCATATCATGTCATTCCAGATATCGAGGCAAGGAATCTTCAAGTGATCTTTGACAACATCCTCCTCCTGTTCACCCACATCCAATCCAGTGTCACCAATAATATAACAATATCTCAGCCTGTACACACTATTGTATTTTATTCTGAGCATTCTTTTGCCATTGCACACAGAGTGTTACTAGATATTGTTCCTAGGTATCTTCTGAGCATGTCACTTCAGTAGGCATCTTGAGTACTTCATCTTTACATGCTCATCAGTTATCAAGGCACTGAGATTATGAAGAAGGAGGCAGAGTTTCTTGCATCAAAGACTTTACAGTCCAGTGAGTGAGAGTGAGCAAGGTTGGTAGTTCACAGAATGTTCACAGGATGCACTGAGGTTATGGAGAAGGAACAGTTCCTTTCCTCAGTCCCTGTCAGCTGGGGAGAGAGGTGCTGGAAAGTCAGTAAGGGTCAAGATAGTCTTCTTTGCAACTATAGACTCTGAACTTGACCTTAAGGGCTGAGTGGGACTTGGATAGCTGCAGAAAAAAAAGAGAAGATGCTTTGAAAGGAGTAACAGAAGCAACGTAGGGGTGACAAGTCACAGTTTGTACATACTATCAGAAACCGAACCATTGCCTTTTGTATTGGATCTAATTTCTTAGTAATGACATCTGCTTCAGAGCATTTTTTCCTCCCCTAACACTGATATTTTGAAGTCACTTGCACAGTCTGTTCTCTTCATGCAAACTTTTTGACTCCTAGAAAGGATTCACTGTGCTACATCAAAACTTGCTTTATCTGCTTGAGAATCCTGCTCTACACTGCATTTCGTACCACCCAACACTGACCACTTCTTCCATTTAAAAAAAATCTGTTTTCTTCTAAACTCTTCCTGAGTGTCCCATACAATTTGTTATCCAATAATTTGATGACTTCACAATACTGATCTATGGGTTTTGCTCAGTGGTAACTTTATTTTCAATTTTTTTTTTTAGGTTTTATGTATTTTAATGACTATTAGTCTGGTTTCTTAATTTCATGATGAGCAATAGGAGACAACAACAATATTTTTGCATCCCTGAATATCCCTACAGAGAAGGCTGGCAGCAGGGATGAGGCCTGAGGTGTAGAGGAGCCTGGGAATTAAATGTAGGTAGATTTAAGTAGATGGGATTTGAATAGCTCTTCAAGTCCAGAGGAGCCAAAGTGTGCATCAAGGGGAGCTTTTAATGAAGAGCTCCACTTCAAAGTCAAGGGCATGATGGAGCAGGCACTGTTGTTGGTCTCCCCAGCAGCCATATGCTCCCCACACCTACTCAGAAGGAGTCTGATTTTACTTATGAATCCTTGCCACCAGACAACATGCAACTCGGGGAAATGAACTATCTCCAGATCCAGGGGAGATAGATGTTCTTCTTCCAAAGCTGAATCAGCCAATTTACTTAACAGTGATTGATCAAGGAATGGGTACATTTCCCAATTCTGACCAAGGAAAATTGAGATTTCTGGGCTGTCAACCTGTGAAGTCACGTAGGCCCCACCACTTCCAAGGGCCCATGCTTGGTTTAACGCTGTTGCTGTTGCCACCTTAAAATTCTTGGTAGGTTTTGAACAAGGGGCCTACATTTTCATTTTGCGCTAGACCCTACAAGTTATGTGCCTGGTCCGGTTGAAAATCAAAGTGATAATGATGAAAAAAAAAGTACATATATATTTACTAAGAAAAATTGATAGAAATATCACCAAAAGGAGAATTCAAATTGTGGTTCAGAAGGAATTGAGTGGTGGAAAGCCAAGCACAACACAGCAAAGTGATCTCTCACCCTTTGGGACATGGGTGAAAATCAGAACAAAGTGGTTCAACACTGTGGCTTTGACACTATGTACTGCATTTTTATGTGGTTCTATATGTGTATTGTTTGGGGGGCTGTTCTTTCAGATTAAAGGAACCGAATCCCCTAGGATTCCAGGTCCTTGATTGGGGTATCCGTTTCCCCTTTAGTAGGGAAAGTAGTCAATAATGGCTACTTTAGTGCCCAGTGCAAAATGAAAATGTGTGAATCCTTCCTTGCTAAAATGCTATTAAGAATTTTAAGAAGCCACAGCAGAGAACTGATTCGAGCTTGGGTCCCTTATGAGCCTGAGACCCTCGCCTGTTAGAAAGCAGGCCCTGAATGTACTCTTTGTTTAAACAAAGTACTTCCTCATCACATATGTCTCTGAGCATCACATAGGTGTCTCCTTTCAACTCTGGGTGGTGTCCCTGTTTCAGCCCACCTCCTAGCCCAGGTTCTGAAGGTTTCTTTTGTGCTGTGGTTTGGACTACAGTATCTAAATACTCTGTAAATGTTAAGAAGTGAGCCTTGTAGCATGTGGGAATTCAGTCCAGTTCCTAGATAGCCTTGTCCCAAGGCACACAGCAAGGTGCTGACAGGCCTTCTATGACTTTCTCTTGACAACTGAGCCCCCAGCTGAGGGTGTGCAGGTGCTGGAGGCTGTGATTAACATTGGCTCGCTGCCTGGCTACACGTATGCAAGTACTTTGCAGCAGTATCATCATTGCTGTCCCATCCTTACTTAAGTTACTCGTTTGACTGAGGAGAAAAGGCTTTATACAGCCACAGCAAGGCCAACGTTTCTCCTGACAGGTAGAGACTCCTTCTGAGGGTCAGGAACTGATTGTATCTTGTGGTAAGTGAGATATAAGGGTCAACCTTCTTTGCAAAGACAAAAGGGAAGTATAGTTGTTTTTTTTTAATGCTGCATATTTTTCCTCCAAAATTTAAAAATAGAACTACCATATGATTCAGTCATCTCTCTTCTGAATATTTATGCAAAAAAATCTAAAAGCAGGATCTTGAGAAGATAATTTTTGCCACATTATTCACAATAGAGGAGATGTGGGAACAACCTAAATGTCCATCAGTGGATGAATGGGTAAAGAAATGGGGTATATATACACTGTGGCATATTATTCAGCCTTAAAGAAAGGAAGGTCTGTAACAGGTCCCAATTTGGCATAATGTTCTTTTATATCAGATTGTTCTTGCTGATGTTCTCCTTTGTTCGTTTGTCTTTACTTGCTGTACCTTTTGCACAGTAACTAGCATAAAATAGGTGCTCTGCAAATGTTTGTTGATTGAGAATCACTCAAACTGTCAATGTTTGTCCCACTTTTTTTAAATTAAGCCAAGATTGATTTTTAAACTAATTTAAGATATTTATACTCCTTGGCCAAGACAATGCAGAAAAGGAGATTAAGAAGAGCAGAAAAACTATATGAGAGCCCATTTCTTCTCCCTACTTTACAACCCACAGGATGAATCATTTCTAAGTTAGGAAGAGCACAGGCTACTTTAGTGAGCTGCCATGGCAAAGCTTGGAGCTGACAATTTTCGGAGCGGAATCTAGTTATTGGCTGCATGGCAGTCATCTCCAGCAAGTGATGCCAGAGTCAGCCCAGAGTAGGATAAGGGACCCTCAAATGTATGTTTCCTTTCCTGAGACCCATGCTAACAACTTGTAGAGTCTGTGCAACATTGGACTCTTCCACTGTGCTGCATGGTGCGGTGAGAAGCAGAGTTCTCAAACACCATTCTTCATGCCGGTGCCAGCCCATGATAAAATTTTCACTGATGGTGGAGGGGAAGAACCATGAAATGAGTTTTTTTTTTTTTAATAAAACTAAATGTATTTCATTCAAAAGACTATAATTTTAAGTTCTAAAAACATATCATGAAGGATATTGATATTGATCTGTGAAACCCCAAAATATGAGAACCACAAATATAGACCAATGGTTTCCTTTGATTTATTTAAGTTTTTCTAGTAAGAAGAGTACTCCTTTTAAGTGTCAACCAACTTTGTAGACCTCCTGCATGATAATAGTGATAATCACAGTATCTTTTGATTTGCGGATCGAGGAAATAAATATGTGCACAAGGATCTGAGGAGTTTTTTTAAAAAAGAATTTGCTGTAACCCTTCCATGGCTTATAGCTGATAAGTTGAAAAACACCAGTGTAGAGAATTTTAAATTGATATGAATTTGAGTGTAATCCTCCCCTCCACTCACCAGCCATGGGATGATTGAGCAAGCCGCTTTTCTGAGGGATTTATAGAGGAATGAGATGGCATGTCACCGTGCTGCTTTTCTAAGTTGGGGTTCCTTTGGCAACAAAGTGGCACATAGGAAGGGAATCACAAAAAAATAGTAGGAATACTTCCTCCGAAACCCCACTTTTATCTTTTACTCATATTCGGGATACTTTATTTTAGAGAGGATTGGGGTCTTTCTGAATTCCTTATTATAGCAACCAAGGCAAAATGGTGACACATGCCAGAGTGAGGAAGGAACAATATTTGCAATTTCACCATCTGTTCTTGTCAACTGTGTGCTACATAAATGGAAGATCAGATTCCAGCTCTCTCGTATATAAAATTTGTCAGTATAGCTAATCCTCTATTTTTTTTTTTTTTACCCACACACATACACACAGAGAGAGTATTATTTAGGGCAATGAGAAGTGAATTATTAGTCCTCTGAATTTACCCAACTTTTGAGGACAATTTCAAGAGAGCTATGATTTCCTTTGTTGCAGAAGAATATTACAAATAATTGGGTAACTGACTATAGGGTAGCCAGTTGTCCACATATACATTTTCACACATTCTACAGAAATAAGAATAAGATCAGATTTTTTTCCTGGAAGTTGAGAGGAAAGTATATTTGGCATCTCCTCCAAAAGTATGCTTAATTTTATGACTTGTATATGTACTATTTAGTGAATGTTTTTCTCCTCCTCGTCCTCTTGCTTTTTTTTTTTTACTCTGATTCTTTTCTTTTTATTATTTTGATTCTAGCTACAGTTCTGAAAACTACCCTTAGATATAACCACTGATGTGAAAAAGAACAAATTAATGCTTACTTTGTTGACCTTTATTTTTACTCTATTTCCAAAGGGAGATAACTAGTTGGTAAAATATTATGATAAAAACTGATGATTTTTCATTAAAATAGGTAATCAGAATATATGTTGCTTCACAGGGTGTGGCGGCACACCTTGTAATCCCAGCATCGCAGGAGGCTGAGGCAGGAGGATAGCAATTTCAAAGCCAGCCTTAGCAACTTAGTGAGTCCCTAAGCAATTTAAAGAGATCCTATCTCTAAATTAAAGGGCTGGGGATGTAACTCAGTGTTTAAGCATCCCTGGGTTCAATCCCTGGTACCAAAAATAAATAAATAGATAGATAGATAGACAGATAGATAGATAGATAAAAATTTAAAAAAGAAAATAATATGTTATATTGGTGCTAAGAGATCTGGACCAAATGAAAAAGAGCTAGTTAGAGTAGAGTAAGAGAATATTTGCTATAAAGGTAAGAACCATTTTCTGCCTTTACCTGAAATGCTATTGCTGGCCCTGCCTCCATCACTGCAGGACACTACCTATCCCTCCCATGGAGAAGGTGATTTTCATCAGACAACCCAGAAGAAAATCCAGATTGTTTCTAAGCTGATAGGAATGTATATACAT